GGAATTTTCTCTTACAGCTTGAGCCTAAGTGTGTCGCAGGATACCCTCTAGGTGATAGTTCTTGATCACTTTTTGATAAATAATTCGTTCTTATTACGAAATAGGAGCACTATTTATCAATCTGTAATAAAAACGTGAGGAAATTCTGTCTTTTTTAAAGACAAAAATTTTTGAGGCAAAATACCCAAAAAGGAGTTTGTAAAAAATAAAAAACAATCTCAAGTATTAGCCTCAAACTTTGTGCAAACTTGAACAAAAAAAACTAACAAGAATCCCCATTTCCATGCAACAACACGTTGGTGTTTAGTGGCACATTTTTCAGCGATTAGTTGCGACCTTTTAACGTGCTTTCCGTATCACAACTATTTTGAAACAATCTAGTTTGTCTGTTGTTTAATTATCATTGCATACCATAACGTAAATGTTTCCCTAGACTTCCTCAAATTTACCATTTCATTTGTGATACTTGATGATTATGACATCAGCAAGAATAATCTCTAGTTAAACACGAATTTTCAATAATCGATAAAGTTAGTCTGTTATTTAATCCAGATTCATAACCAACACGCAAGTCCCCAAGGAGGCAGCGAAAAGGTAAAACGCCTATAACGTGAAAACTCAGGATTTCCCCGAAAAAGTTTGAAAGGTACAAAAAAAGATAAAACAATGTTCGCTTTCTATTCCCCAACACTTTCCCCAGTTGCGCTCCGTTTGCTTTCGCAAAAATTGCACAAAAACCGATGATTCTTGGGAAATTAAGACCAAGTCTAGTTGCGCATTATTCCTGAGTTTTTACTTACTTTTTGCGCCAGAACACCATGTTACAGGTTCGTCAACGACGTTACCGAAAAACTGATATCAGCATTTTCGAATCAGCATCCCGGTGGAAAGATAACAACGTTTTCAGATAAGATTAGCCGTTATCATAACACGCCTGCTAGGGACATCGCCAGTTCCACCTGTTGTCGTTCTTGAGCACACAAACTTCTGATAAACCGGTACATGTCTGCAAATAAACAAACTACTTATAAATCAGAACTAAAAATAAGTCTTTTTAATTAATATGTATTTAGTGCGTAGGTAAACAGCTGGGGGGTGTAGAGTGTGATGAGATCTAAACTGCTCAACAAAATAGATGTTAGACGGACAAATTTCGACTAATTTTGGCATTGGCTAGTGTTACAGAAGCGCTATTTGCTGCAATCATTTGTCGGTTAGTGCGCGTTTTTGAAACAAAAAATGTGATTCAGAAAATTTTTCTGCTGGCTGACAAATGAAACATTGCAATTGGCGAAATTTCCACATGATTTCAATTAGACAAACTAGTGCTCGTATCCCGAAAAACTATTTTTTGACCATCCGGTTTATTTACAGAGTGGCCAGAAAGAACAATTCGAACACCCATCTTGTGGTGTTCTCAAACTCCAACAATCCTCAATCTTTCGATGTCGGAACCCAAAAAAGCTTGTTTGTCCAACTAGAATCATGTCAAACTTTGAGAATGAAGAACTTTTCCATTATTTCATTTGCCACCCTGTAGAAAATTTATCTGAAACGCTTAATTTTTATTAAAACACTGACTAACAAAACATAAATGGGGCTCCATAACGCTTCAAGCAGAAACCAAATCGCTTGAAGCAATCAGAATTTATCCAGTTTCAAAGTTCGGGCAAATTTAGCTGTGTTCATTTTGTTGAGCAGTTATTTGAAGAAGAAAAATATTGAATTGCGATTTGCCTAAGCAAAAAATGCCCCAATATTAAAAGAAAGAAATTGATCAAAACGAGGAGGATTGTAGCACAACACTTTGCTTTTATAGACACGCTATGAATGCTGCTAATGGGTAATTAAGGATAAATTACTCGGGTTTTGATTAATAAAAACGACACTAATCACATTTTGTTCACAAAGCGTTGCTTAAATTTACTTGAATTATTGTAATTTTGTATGTTTGATTTGATGGTGACACGTTTTTGAAACCAACCAATGCACATTTCTAAACGAGACAAAATATATTTCAAATGAGTCAACAAAGAACAACACTAATCTCGAAATACGCTAAAATAACGCTATTAATATTCGATTACAAACTCGAAAAAACCTTCGCAAGATTAAGCAAAAAACTGCAATTTTCCTGGCTTTCAACTGGGTAAGCACTGGAACAGGGGTAATTACGGACGGTAATGCTTTGATGCAAATGCGAAAAACTCATTAAAAATCATCCTGAGGAATAATTCACGGTTTCCATCAGGGGAAAAAATCATTCATAAATCCCGGTTTCTACCCTCAGTATTAAACCTGCACTACTTTCAACGTGGCAATCATAACATCAAAAGTGGAAATCACTGACCAATTCATAATTATTACACAATGGAAAAAAGGCCGGTTTAAATAATCAATAATGGGCATATGCGAGTTCTTACATAAGCGTGGAACACGCCATAGTAACAATTAACGAAATAAAATAGCAATTACTTACAAATTCAAGCGAAATGGACCGAAGCTCTCGATGTTTTATGTCGATCACTTGAAAGGCTTAATGGCAGGTTTTTAGCTCATTTTGTCTTATTAATGTCGCAAAATTTGGGAAAATGACAATGTTCTGACTGGTGACAATCGTAAACAATCACAGCCGACTTATAGTTGTCAGTATTGACGAACTGAAAATATTTTCAGATTTTTTTAGAAATCAAGCAAATAGAAAAGGCAGTATTAATAAAAGCGCAAAACGTTTGTTGATTTTGTGGTATAACACTGGGTTGAGTTGCACTTTTGAGTAGATGCGCTTTTGAGTTGAAGCCGTTTTGTGAGTTGGTGACTTGAATCATCGCGCCTCACTGCGCCGCACCTCTAATTGCGCTTGTGGCGGAATAATTCTTGAAATGAACAGTTGAAATTTCGCTGATTTCATCATCGCTCGGAAATTGAGCAACAGTTTCATTTTTAAGTGTTTTTTCCCCGTTTTTTTGTTTCGTCAATATTTTCACAAAAACAAAATTAATTCGCTTATTAATTTTAGTTTTGGCGTATATAAAAATGGCTCAAAATTTAAAACTTAATTAGTAAAAGATTGGCGCTTGGAGCGTTTTTCGTTTAGTTGTTGTGGACTTTCGATAAGTTGGGAGGTGAAATTTTGCCTTTGGAAATATTGCAATGTGAACAGGCACTTTCTGCCAAAAAGTCAACAACAAACAAGTCGAAATCGAACGGCCAAGCAATCGATCAATGAATCACGGAAAGGGCGAACCAGCAAATGATTAAATAATTATGTTCATTCTGTACTTTGGTGTCTTTTTTTAGAAAAGGTGTATGAGTTTTTGAATGAATGTTTGCTACCGAACCTGGACGAAATCGTTTGTGTCGTGTGAATAGCGTTCTTAGATGGGAAATATAGAATTCATGGATAGAAAATGGAAGATGGGGCGCCAGCTTGCCAAAAGCTGATAAAAATTATCTCTAATCTAGAAACCTTTTAGCTTCAACTAAGTGTAGTTTTCCGACAAGCAACTGAAGTTTGATGGATTCTTTATATTTTTCTCTCTTTGCTTTGGACATAATTCCAAAAAAAACGAATTTATTTTCGAAATTCGAAGGATATCAGAAAACTATGAATATATAAAATTTTGTTGCTTTATACTGAAAAACGTGCATATCCTTAATATTGTGTGTTGAATCCTTCCGGAAAAAAAACATTGATAGTTTTGTAGTGGGTTGCTTGTTCAGCTTTAGTAACTAATTGTCAGCTGTTTCCGGAATCAACGGTTCGATGGCGGGGCCTCGTTCTAATTATTTTCTTTAATTGCATTTGTTGCAGCCACCATTAGCGTAATGGAAATTGGGCAAATTTGCCCAAATACTTTCAATGTTCCTGCGGATAATTGCATCACTCCAAAGAGCGGATATTTCAAGAGGCACGCGTGATCAATTATGTATCAGATTAAATTCGCTTGATTCCTTCACGTAACGGATTCGCGCTTAATGCACAATGTCTAGCGAGAATCGAGAGATTTTTGTCATTTCCACACTGTTAACTACTAATTCTCTACGAAATAACTATTGAGACCTTCTAACAACGAATTAAATTAGCAATTTAAGTATATTCAGTTTCTTATGTAAGATTGGCTCATCGCAGATCGGTTAAATAATTAAGTGCTGCTTAATAAACCGGGTGTAGGATTCAAGATTGTGTAAACTAATGATCAAACATGCAAATCCGACTGATCATCATTGGCATCCCGTTAAATCAATCGTGGGCATGAGATAAGAGTTTTCTATTTTATTTGGCAATTTGCGCATATTTGCATATATTTCTATAAAACTTTCTCAAGTGTAAAATCCTGTGGAAAAAGACCAAACAAAATCAACTCATTTGTAAACCTAATACATGTAATTAAACAATTAGCCCTAGAATCTACATCTATAACGACAATAAATCGCTGGCTGTTTGCGCTAAAACAATTAATAATCAAATAGCTGCATTAATTAAAGACAAACATCTAATTAATCTTATTAGAGCCGCAAACCTGAGCATGTTCTTGCGCTTGACAAACATACCTACATGCGTTCAAGGCAATCGACAATCAACGATGCAAACCGTTCATCTGCCTACTTTTTTAAACCCAACCGAAACTCTTTGGTTTCATCATTTGCTGCTTTCAATTAACACGGATTTTGTTAAAGGTCGCCTGCTTGCGCTTGTTCATGGTAATGTGATAAATAAAAGATGTTTTGTGATGTTTAGCATAGTGTTTCAAGTGGGCAAAGTTCGATTTTCGATACTTTCTCCATTGTGAGCTTAATTAACTAAGGTAGTGGGAAAGACTGTTGTCTTTTGTTTAACTCGCGCTAGATAAGGTGGAAGGGTTTCGGCGTGTAAATACCAGGATTTTTCCCAAAGTCGATCCAATTGGGTCAAACCTGCAGGTAAAGGGATAAAAAAAGCCATCAAAAGAGTTGGGCTTTCGCCATCACTGTTTGAAACTGGTGAGTTTCAGGGTTTTTCACCAGGCAAACACAATCAAAAATTTCATTTAATGTGATGAACTAATAATAAATAAAAGTCGTATAAACATACACGAGCCTCAGATACTCTGGTAACTTTTGGAATTTAATTTAATGTAAAATTTCCGGCTGGAATATTAAACTTCGTGGTGATGGATAGAAGATATTAGTCAATGCTTGCAAGATGCACGCTTACAATCATGTCAAATGGATGGCATGAATGCGAGAGCTGAATACATTATTTTCAATTGTTCTGTCCGAAGGCACTGTTTGAATTGATCTCGGGCTGTTAACTTGATCCACAATCAATTCTCATAGCAGTGAAATCGATCGGTGCAATAAGGAGGCGCATGTAAATTAATACGTTTTAAAAAATAATATTGTTTGCTCCTCCTTTGGATATATGGTCATCTTCCTTTACTCGGTAAATGCCAATGAGTAGTACAAAGACAAAGACACCTAATATCCTTGTAATTCCGGGTTCGTGGTCAGTCACGATCTTTCCTAATCTATCATCATTAATTATCCTTTGTGCTCGACGATAGGTCATCAGTAAAACAAGATCTTTTATCGGTTACATCACGTTATTGCAGGGAAAAGATTGCACCTTTACAGAAATTTCGTTATGTACCTACTAGAAATAAGGAAAAATATATCATTTTTGTTAACGCAAAGCCATTTGTCGCAAACCTGAACTAGAAATAAAGGTCTGACTGGTTTAATGTATCTAATTTAATGCTCACCATTCTCAAACTAAGCCTAATCACGAAATTATAAGAATTTATGTGTCAAGCTATAGTCTGAGGACGTTGAAAACGAAAAACTTGCCAGTAGTTGGGAAGCTTTCGTGTTTTGGGATAATTTATGTAGCTAATAAAATTGCCAGCTTATCGAGGTTGGTTTCTTCAGGCGTTTGATGATTTGACTAATAGTTTGATCCCTTGGCACACAAGCAAGCTTCCAGACACGTTTCTTCATTTCAATTATGTTTTTATTCAGAAACTA